GGAGTTGGGAATGTTGGGAATGTGGAGAATGTTCAGCCTGGATTGTGGAGAACTCAGAACACCTCCATGATGTGATTTAGATTTGCAACAGCCACGGAAGGCACTAAACCAGTCCATTTTCCAGGGGAAAAAAGGGAAGAAATTCTCTTGTTGGGAAGGTTTGGGGCATTCCAATAACCCAGTTATACAAACAATGTCTGCAGCAGGTTGAGCTGTCCCCAGGAGTTAAACTGCTCATGGTTTATGTCCCAGCCTGGCATGAGATAAAAAACCTCCCTCAAAGCTCCTTTCATCTCCAGGACCCGGCATTCATTTCAACCCTTTGTTCCATCACACCCAGGGCTCCAGAGCTAACACAATGCAACAAATTTCAATTAATGCAGTAATTTGTCAACTCTTTGGTGCCTCGCCTGTCCCGGGAGCTCCAAAGGCATTAATTGAGTGTGGGGAGTGCCAAACTCAACCAGCCGGGGTTGGTGTGTCCTGGTTCTCCATCCAAGGGCTCCCAACTTCTTGGAGGAACTCCGGGTGTTAATTAGGGAGCTAGAATCCCTGCCAGGCTGTTAATGAGGCCATTCCCAAAATGGGATCTCCCCTCCAAGAGCAGCAGTTTCTGTGCCTGGAGGGGAGGATGAGGAGGAGGAAGCGTTCCTGGGTTATCTCAGTTTTACCCATGAAAGCAAATTTTTCTTGGGAGGGATCCCTACTAGAAGGAACAGATTTTGTAACATATCGGAAAGGATTGCGCGCTGTTGAGTTGTGGAGAGTTTGAGGATAGGGAGGAGAAGGACTCCCCTTTTATAGAAAAACCTTTCATAGAAAAACCTTTTTGTAGAACAGACTCTAAAAAAGAAGATAATCTTCATGTGGAGAAAATAGGAGGAGTTAAAGGATTTTAAGGAGATGAAGATTCGGCTTAATTTATTTTTTTTAAAGTATAAGTGATAGAAAGGTTTAATAAAATAATTAACGTTTTTGAAGGTGTTTACCTTGAATTAGGTGAAGTCCTTTGAGTTCCCCTGACTCACCGACTTCAATTGAAGTCCTTACCTAGGGGATGTGGGCCCAGATCTCCGCACAACCTGGGGGAGCCAAAGCTTTGCATATTCGAGCCATTAGCAAGAAGTGTTGGCAACTTTGAAGTCCTTTATTCCTCTGAAGTCCGAGCCCAGTCTTTGTACAAATCTTCTTCATTTGGAGTTAATTCCTATCTTTTGCTGAGTGCTCCCCATCCCGGCTTTTTGCATCCTTTCTGTGTAGGAATTTCCAGCAGGGACAAATTGAGCTGTGATAAATGGGATGAAGAGCAGCTTCTCCTGATGTCAGGTTCAGACACCGCACAGCCTCTAACCCCCAACATTTAAATTAATCTCCAACATCCATCTTCGTGTTTAATTTGTTGTGAAAATTGCTGCATATCCTGGTGACTTCCCAGGATTTTGGGTGGGAATGGGGGTGACTCAGGCATGGAAGTGGTATTAAAATTCATGTTTGGGTAAAGAAATGCAGGATTGTGGGTGTGTGGATTGGAGAGGGACTTTGGGCAAGGGTAGGGAGTGACAGGACAAGAAGGGATGAGTCCCAAATGACAGAAAGGGGGTTTAGATGGGATTTTGGGAAGGAATTGCTCCCTGTGAAGGTGAGGAGGCCCTGGCTCAGGTTATTCCATGAATTCCTCATTCCTGGAAGTGTCCAAGGCCAGGCTGGACGGGCTTGGGGTAGTGGAAGATGTCCCATGGTCCAGGTGATCTTTAATGCCCCTTCCAACGCAAATCATTCCATGGTTCTGTGATCTCCAGAGTTAAAGGACTGTCTGAATTTCCACCCGAGTTTATTTCGAGCACCAAATCCTTCTTCATTTTCCCGGGATGGAAAAGTTTTCAAGGAATGGGTTTGATCCTGGCTCTCCAGCTCCAAACAAGCCAGCCACGATCTTTTCCTTCCTGAACGAGCAAAGGAAATAAAGGGGAAATTGGGTTTCTCATGGAAAAGAAACGCTTTTTGCATGGGGTTTATCGCGATTATTCCCGGCAAATCCCAGCTCTCAGGAATGGATCAGAATCCCAAATTCACCAGCCTGGGTGGCACCAAACGTTCTGTGAAGAAGGTGGAGCTGGCACCCAGGGCAGCGCTAATTGCACTCATACAATTTGAAACGTAATTAAAATCTGCATTTGAAAGCTCGCGAAAAACAGGTCTGAAAAACAAACAAAACCCTCCCGTTTTGGGTGTGTTGTTTTGCAGAGGTTCTGGTGAGTAAATAATTTCTGCCCTCGAGTGTGAATTAATTTCTGGAGCTGTTTTCTGCTGTTCCCAGCAGAATTCCAGCTGGGAATTCCACACTACCCCGGCTCTCTGCAGGAATTCTCCTCAGATCCATCCAGGAGTTAGTGACATTAATTTTTGGACAAAACCAGAAATCACAACAGAAATTGTTGAAGTTTATTAGTCCGGAGTAAAATGCCAAAACAAATACCAAACCTGAATGATTTTAAAATTGTTGGTGACAGAATCTGAAGAAAATTATCAACGAAATGAGATCCAGTCGGGTGTGAAAATGGAGGATTTCACATCTCCTTGTGCCTTCAGGGGGAGTTCTTCGAGGAGGGGTGAGGTCCCAGGCTCTGCCTACCCCAAAAACCATCTCAGAGGTTCCAAGCCTTTGAGGAACAGATTCTTCATAATGAGCTAATTAATTACAATTCACAACGAATTGCAGATGCCAGTCTTGCCAGGGAAATTCCCTCTGCTTCTCCATGGATTTTGGGGTCACCTCTGTGCCCAGACACTTTACCCAGGGATGACTGTGAGTAACCTCCCAGTTCCATTTTGATTAAAGATCTCTTTTTTCAGACGTTCAGTCACTCACAGGTGTCTCAGGAGGATGTTCTCACATTATGCAAAAAGTCTTAATTATAATCTGAATATTTAGGTCTGGCCTTGATGACAAAAATCTGTGAACTCTTCATTTGCTCACTTTAATTCATCTCAAAATCAGGCCATTAAGTCATTCTGAGAGTACAATGAAATAAAGGCTTTAGTTGGAACAATATTTATTGTAATTGGTTACAAGGAAGTCTCCAAACAGATTTGAAATGTTGCCAGATCTGTTTTTAAATTCACAGCTGGATTTGAAACTTGCTTTGTGTTTTCCAAGCAAAGCTCGGATGAAGGAGGAATAAAAAGAATGAAGAAAAATTTTTAAAAGATGAAAACAAACTCTGCATGGTGTTATGCAAGTTAATTCCTCAACTAACTCCCAGAAATATTAGGAATAATAGGAAGTATTTTTAAATAGCTGCTAATTTCTTAAAGTATAGAGAAATAGTGAGGAATGCACAGCTAAAAACAGCCAAGGAATTTTTTTTGAGAATCCTCCAGAAATATGAGATGGCTCGAGCCGAACCTTGAACTTTTCCATTTTGATTTAAAATAAAGCAGCTGTAATTCCTGCAGATAGAAACAATGGCATCAATTTCACAGCCCAATTACTGCCCTGCACCCCCAAATCTTCATAACATCTTATTAAATAAAATACAAGAATTCAGATCTAGGTCAGGGATCTGAAATGTGCCCAGGATGGGACATTTGCATGGTGGCACTCCAATAAAGCTGCTGATAAACTTTGAAGTCCTCAGGAAGCTCTGCCCAAGCTAAATGAGTTTCAGTTCCCAGGAGATCCCCACAGAGACAGCCCTAATTTAAATGTGATTTGCATGTCTCGGGAGTGGATGTGCCAGCAGAGCAAGAACCTCAGGATTAATCCCTGCATTCAGGACTGCTCATGGATTTGAGGTTGGAAAAGAGCTCCAGGATCACCAATCCCAACCTGTGGTTGATCCCTCAATGTCCCCTCATTCCTGGGACACCTCCAGGGATGGGGACGCCAAACCTCCCTGGGCAGCCTCTTCCATGGAAAAATTCCTTCTTCTTTCCCAGAGAACCTCTCCACGCCCGGAGGTGTCCAAGGAATGAGTGGACCTTGGGCTGGTGACCAGGCTGGGGTTGGGAACACCTCGGACTCGATGGTCCTGGAGGCCTTCTCCAACCTCAGAGATCCTCTGGAAAGCAGCTGGAAATACTCATGGCTTGCCTTCCAAAACCTGCAATTCTCTGTGAATTCCCCCAGGATTTACCTTTCAGAGGAGGGCGCTGCATTATGCAAACGAGGCCTAATCTCCTTTAATGACACCAAGCAGATCCCAAAGGGGTTTGAAGGCTGAATAAATCCCATTGAATTAATCCCTGCAGTGTTCCCAGCAATGAACCCAGCCCGGAATATTTTAAGATGAAAGCACCCTGTGGTCAGATAGACAAACCACAAGATAAGGAAGTGAAGCAGTAAAAAACACAAATACTGAGGCAAAAACCCCTGTAATCAGTCGTGGCCCATAAATCACTTCTTGCACAAAGAGTGGCCCAAGTCGTTGGGCAACTCAAAACTCGGTATAAAAACCTGAGCAACTCCAGGCTCTCCCAGCCACTCTCTTCCCTCCTTTGCCTTCGTGAGTAAGGTGAGTTTGAACCTCTTTATTCTCTTTTTCCAGCAAACTTTTGCCTTGATTTTGTAGCTTTTCCCTCGCTCCTGTTGCAGCAGTTTCTCCTCAGAGGGAGGAAGGGGTTTTGTACCAGGGAAGGAGTTTTGTGTTGGTGGCGAGTTATAAATTTCATTAATTAGCCACGTTCGCTAAGTGGCTATGGGTTACTTATTAAATGGGTTATTTATTAAATGGGTTATTTATTCAGTTTTGGGATCCAAGGCACTTTTAAGGTTGTGCAGCTGCAGTTTAATATCAGCAGTGAATTCTCGAGCCTGTTCAGTTGTGTGACCACATCCCACCACAGTCCAAGCAGAGAATTCACCTAAGGCCAGAACACAAGCAGCACTAAAAATCTGATTTCCTTCTAAATTCCCAATCCTGAATGGATCCCTGGAAAACTGCTGATAAATGTGGGTGTAATGCAGCTCCTGTATTCCAGAATTCCTTCTGGCCACAGCCATGTCCTGCTACGACCTCTGTGCCCCCACGTCCTGCGGCCCCACCCCGCTGGCCAACAGCTGCAACGAGCCCTGTGTCCGGCAGTGCCAGGACTCCACCGTGGTCATCCAGCCATCCCCCGTGGTGGTCACCCTGCCCGGGCCCATCCTCAGCTCCTTCCCACAGAACACCACCGTGGGATCCTCGGCGTCCGCGGCCGTTGGGAGTGTTCTGAGCGCCGGGGGAGTCCCCATCAACTCGGGCAGCTCCTTGAGCTTTGGTGGCCTTGGGGGTTTTGGCTACCCTGGGTTGGGCAGTGGCTACAGCCGGCCCTACAGGCGCTACAACACCTCCCGCAGTGGCTTCTACTAAGGTGGGAGGAGAAGACCAGGAATGTTGAACCCCAACCCATCCCTGGAGCAGGACTGAGCTTATGGCTGCGGTTTTTGGATGCCACATGAGATACACCCAGCCTGGAGTTAAAGGAGCTGTGGGAGTTTGGCATCTCCCCAAACCAGGCCTTTGCTTGTCTTTTGTTGTGCTTTACTTCGTATTTCTGATCAAATGTCTTGTCCTGCTTATTTGTTTTGTTTTGGTTTTTTTTGTATTTGATAATAGGCAAAATATTAATTGTTGGCAATTGTTGTGCATGGCTGGATTAGCACAGGTCGTTCACCAGTGAAGAAGGAAGATTTCCCCTTGCTGAGTGTGTCTGCGTGGGTTCTGTCCTTACTGAACCATGGAAATGTATTCCTGACTTTTTCGTTGCTTCCTTCCCTTCCTCAACCCATTAAATTTGTGCTGCATCACCCTCCGAGTCTGCCTGGCCTTCTTTGCTCTCCCATCCCCTTTTCCAGTGCCTTTGGAAGTCCCCACTTCCAGAAAACACCACGCAAATAATTTCAAAGGAGAACGAGTCAGATTCTAGTGGTGGAAAACTTTTAAAACCCAGCCTGAGACCCCTTATTAAAGGCAGAAAAATGGGTGCCTCCTGCTGGGACCTAAACAGGGAATTTTTAAAGATGTGATACTTGGGAAAAGCCTTTTTAAAAGAAGGGAGCTCAGCTGAGGTTCCTGTGGAGGAAGAGAAGCAGCAATTGGGGCATCCTTTTTTTGAGTGCAGCATCTCCTGGCAGCTGAGCTCAGCGCCTGGTGAGTCTGGGAGGGGAGGCACAGAAAGATGGGGAGGGTTTCTCCCTTTGGAATTTGCTGGGTTGGGAAGCAAGTCTGGGACAGAGAGATTAAAGGACTAAAATTTAAAGAATTTTTAGTTTCAGCCCTCTCTTAGGGTGTTTTAAGCCAGAGCTGGGCTTTATCAGGTGCTGCTTTGTTCCTCCTGGATTGGGACAAAGGTTCTGCTTAGACACCCTGAAGGAAGAAGGTTTGGAAAGCTTCCCCTGAAGGCTCCGGATGAGTCAACCTCCTGTCAGCCCATAAAATTACTGATATCTCTGAAAAGTTTCATTTGGAGTCTTTGTCTGCCTGTCCAGAATGAGGCTGAACTGTAATTAAAGATGCTGATGAGGTTCTGCCGACTGCAGTCATTAGTGGAATGAAATTAAAGGAGGTAAATGAAAGAATTAATAATTTTAAGGAGGAGGTTTTTTTTAATAAACACCAGAAGACAGTGGAAAGCTGGCAGTTTGATGTTCTATTACAGGAGGAGCTTGGTCTGGATTAAATGTTTAATTTAATATTTTTTGCCATCTCAACTGAAGCTATTCCCTGATCAAAGGTGATGAATTCCAAAAAGTCCAATGACTCCAAAGGGTTATGACTGAGGCGCTGCTGAGAAAGTGCCTTGGACAGGTTCAGGTGGATATTTCTCATGACAAAATTAATTTCCATACCCTTGCAACTACCTTTTCATTAATTGAACCAAATCTCTTCCCAGATTGCAAAAAAACTCCCCTCAAAGTTGGGGTGTTTCCTCTAAGCACCCAGAAATCCCATCAGGATGGTCAAACTTTTTGAAATAAAATAAAAGATGACCCTCAAGCACCACTTCCCCCTTTCATTCCTGTCCCAAATGGCCTTTTTGGGTTAAAACTTGGTATGGCAACCAGTAAAGCACAATTCTGAGGAAAAAAAGGGAAATATGGGTGAGTTTGCAGTCAGTTAGAAAGTAATTTATTCACTGTTGCAGAAAATGAGTAGGAATATCGTGTTAGAATATTTTCCACAGGGAAGGATTTCTCCTGAAGACCTGCAACAACTTGGTCCCACAGAAATAAAAAAATACCATTTTTTTTTCAGAAATATTTGTTGTCAGTGAAAATCCCTTTCAGCACCAAATTCTGCAGAGCTGCAGCATCTCCTGGGTTTACAGGGAAAAGGGAAGAGGCAGGAAGGCTCTGGAGAGCTTTTATGGCTTTCTGGGGCTGCCTGGAGGATCCCAGACATTCCTGCACCTTTTATTACCCAGTCCCCGCAGGAGCTGTGGGTTTGCTTTGCATTTGGCCGGGTTCCCAGCAGGGAAATTGGTTTGTTGACTGTTTATGTTCATTATGGTTTATCCTGGCCACGGATGAAACCCACGACCCGCGAGGCCGCTTTCATCTCCCTGCTTTGCATCCATTAAATATTCCCGACTCCATCGCACCAACTCCACCTCCCAAAGTGGGGATGAGTCAAAATCCCATTTGTTTAGGACTTCTGGCATTTTGGGCACACACCTGGGAGCAGCCCCTGGTGTGGCAGCGGGTTTTAATTGGAGTTCTGAGTGCACAATTCTGGCCATGATAAGGGCCCAGGAGATTTCAGATCGCTGCTCCTTGTAATCTTCCCATGAGCAACATTCCAAAGCTTTCAGCTCCTGGGAGGAGAAGTTTGAGCCAGCCAGACAAGCTGGACTTAGGATCACCTTCAGAAGTGGAATTTGGGCTCTTTTTATCTTCTCTGTAGCTTTGGATGGGTTGGCTTTCAAACCACAAGCTGCTCTTAGAGTCAATAGATAATTATTGTTATAAAGGAAAGTCAGGGAATCATGGAATGGTTTGGGCGGAAAGGGGCCTTAAAAATCATCTAAGCCATGGGCAGGGACACCTTCCACTACCCCAGGGTGCTCCAAGCTGTGTCCAACCCAGCCTTGGAAACTTCCAGGGATGGGGCAGCCACAGCTTCTCTAGAAAACCAAGTTTTTAACATTTCTGTGCGTGCAGTGAGAACTTTGGGAAGGTCTGGTCAATCTGGAGGGACGGGAGAGTTTCCATCCATCGTGTCATCATTTTGGGTCATCCCAAACTGGGGACATCCAACGACTCACAGCTGGAATTGAGTGGATGCAAATTCTGATTTGTGTTTCAAGGACAAAGTGGAAGGATTTGAGCTGGTGGGGAAGTTTTTGGAATCCATCAGGAATCTTGGCCACCCCTTTGAACCCCTGGTCATGTTCAAAGAGTCTGTCCCTACCCATTTGCTGATCGTCCCCCATTTGCATGTCTGAGTGGTCCAGGGAAATGTTTGGGGAACTTTGAAGACTTCTGCTCTTCAGAAGTCTCCAACCAGCATTTATTTCCCAGGAGATGTTGGGGAAGATACTCGCAGTGAGGGGCTGATTTGCCTGTCTCTGCCTCGGAGATTAAACACCACGAGAGGTTGGAATGCTCGGCCCTGCCCTCCAGTCTGCTCCTGCATTGTCTGCGATTACTTTTTAATCTGGAAATTGCCTTTGAAAAGGAACTGGAATTGCTGCACGCTGAGGTGATCTTTGAGACGTGCAAAATGAAAGCCAGAATTGGCTTTCAAAGAAGGAAAAAAGGAACAGGAACATTACAAACATCTCTAAATAACTGCTATTAATTTGGGGAACAATTTTGCATAATGGTGCAAAGCCCAGCAGGGGAAAGTAATAATTTAGTGACAGATGTAAAATGGTTTGGAGTCTTTGATGACCCCAAAGATGAGCTTGGGCAAGGCTTTGAACAGCCCCAAATTCCCAGGCATCCTCCAGCTGACCTCAATCGCTGTCCTGGTTTGATGTAGGGAGAAAACCCAGCCTGGAGACTCCTGAGATGAAGGACTTGGACACTCACTCCCCAAATTGTGTCTCAGATTCCATCATGGGAGTGTGGTGGTTTAATAATAAAGGAATAGATCAGATGCTGATCCTCTTTCATGCTCTCTGCTGAGTCATGAAAATAAAATCTGTTCCCTCAAATAATCCATTCCCAGTACCTTTGAGAGTGGGGGAGTTTAATCACCTCTAAACACTTTCTAATGATTTTATTTCCTGTATTTTGGCGAGGCAGAAATAGGAATTTCTGCCCTTCTCAGAGCGAGGTGTGCCAAAAACTTGCACCCTCCATGCAGAGGGAAAGGGATTTCACAGGGAAGGTCACTGCACCTTTTCTGATGGTTTCATTCATCGATGTCATGATTCCTTAGGATGCAAAACAATTTCCTGAGTAACCCAGATGAATCAGCCTCTGATCAGGAATTAACCGGGCTCGTAAGATTTGAGGATAAAAGAAACCTCTCCGGAGGAATGCATACATTATAGGGAGGAAATAAATCCAGGCAAGAAACACAAACAGAGAGGAAAAGTAAATCCCCAGCCAGGGGTATTTTGCATATGAGGAATCGTTAGCAATTGGCTGCTAATGAGCTACAAGCACAATTTGTGTCCCAGGTCCTCGGGCTCTCCGGGCCAGGGTATAAAACCAGCCCGGTCGGAGAAGCTACAACCACTTCTGCTTTCTTCTCCTTGGAGAAAAGGGTAAGTCTTGATCTGCTTCCCACTTTCTTTGGATTGTTGCTGTCTTTGTGTTTTATTTTTCTGCTGTTTGTCTGTAACAACCCGAGGTTTGCGCTCTTTAAAATAGCTGGGGAGACCTCAAAGCAGCTTTTTCTCTAGGGAGGGACATTCTTTGAAGGGTGGAGGTCGTTCCTGCGCTGAACCCGGATTTTTCACCCAAATCTTTCTGATCCAAGAAGCCCCAGGCTCTGCCTGAGTGTTGTTCAGCAGCTGTGGGGAATTGGTGCAAAGCTTTTGGCTCTCGGGATGGAATCACAAAATATTCGGGGTTGGAAGGGACCTCTGGAGATCTCCCGGAGCAGGTGACACAGGAAAGCCTCCACGTGGGTTTGGAACAACTCTGGAGAGGGAGACTCTTGAGCACGAGGGTCTGAATGTCTCCAGACACACATTGCCTGAACTCCCTGGCTCAAAGCCACCTGCACCAAGGCCTCACCACCCTCATGGTAAAATTTCTGCTCCTCATTTTTACTTGCTGAGGAATTGGTTGGGTTTTTTTTCTTTTTCTTTTCTTTTTCTTTTTTTTTTTTTTTCCCCTTTTTTTAAATTTTTCCCTTTTCGGGGTGCAGTTGTTCCTTGCTTTCCTGACTGCCTGCTCCCTCACCTCCCCGCTTATTTACGGGCAGCAGGAGGAGTGCGGTGGGAAAGGAGAGCTCAGAGCCGCTCAGGAGGAGGTGGAGCTGCCCTTTGTGGTGTGGAGAGCTCCGAGCTTCACTGAAATCCCCTTTCAACCCGAGACCAACCCTTCATTCCATTCTCCACACAGCCCTCGCGCTGTCCATCACCACAACAGCCCAATTACGTGACTAATTACACCTCGCTCCTTGTATTCCAGAACTCCCTGCGTCCCAGACTCACGCCCCACAGCCATGTCCTGCTACGACCTCTGTGCCCCCACGTCCTGCGGCCCCACCCCGCTGGCCAACAGCTGCAACGAGCCCTGTGTCCGGCAGTGCCAGGACTCCACCTACGTGATCCAGCCATCCCCTGTGGTGGTCACCCTGCCCGGGCCCATCCTCAGCTCCTTCCCGCAGAACACCGCCGTGGGATCCTCGGCGTCCGCGGCCGTCGGGGATGCTCTGAGCGCCGGGGGAGTCCCCATCAACTCGGGCAGCTCCTCGGGGCTCGGCAGTTTGGGGTACTCCGGTTTGGGGGGGCTCTACGGGAGGTCCTACCGGCGCTCCAACCGCTGCGGGCCCTGAGGGAGCCTCGGGATGAGCAGGAGATGGAAAGCGCGATCGGATGCAGGACTGAGCCCGTGCCCACCCGCTTGCTGACCCCCGCAGCTTTGCCCTGAGCTCCCGGGGCTGCAGGAGCTTGGCCTTTCCCATTTGATGCCTTTCTGTGGAATCAGGGAGGTGAAAAATGTCACTCGATTGTCGCTGGGTGTCCAGCTGTAAAACACTGCCTGGAAATGGGTGATGAATTTTAATTTGTATTCAACCCTTTTGCTTTCTTATGCTGTATTTTTTTTTAAATTCCACTTCTTGCTCATTAAATAGATGGCGCATCACAATTTGTGTTTTGTAATGTTCCTTCTCTCTTTTGCTTTGGAGCCTTCTCTGGCAGAAATTTGCCTGTGCATAAATTGTGAGTACCAAGCAGATCTGCATTTAAGTTCTACCACACTAATCACTGAGGAGTTATATAAATATAAACAATGAGTAATATTTTTTGGGGGGAATATTTTCCCTTTTTTCTCATTTCTGGAAGAACAATATGAAATAATCACCCCTGGCTAGCAACAAATGGGGGGGAAAGAGGTGGGAAAGCCAAAGCAGCTTTACAGACAGAACTTTATTTAATTTATTCCCAGAATTCCATCTAAACCTCCTCTCCATAAATTAGAACCCATTCCCCCTTGTCCTGTCCCTCCAGACATTTGGAAAGGATTTCTCCCCATATTTCTTGTCAGCTCGTTCAGACACTGAAATGTGAAATCAGGTCACCCCGAATCTTCCTCAGGCTCAACAAACCCAGGCAGAATTTTCAAAACCCAACAAACAAAATGAAAACTTAGGTCTCGTTCTTCCCTTGTCGTCCTGCTAGCTTAGAAAGGCGGCAATCATGTCTTAATTGTTTGCTAAACGATGTGGTGATTGAGGGGCCTTTCGGGTGTCATCAGGAATCCTCAGAGCAAGAACAATTACTCAGAACCTCGGGGAAGTTAATGACGGGCAAATTGCTAAACAAACATTCCTCAACATCTTAAGTACCCCAATTAAACTCCCATTCCACATTTTAAACACGGGGAGCAGGGCAGATCCTGAGATAAGGAGCCCTCAGCACGCTGGGGAGTTCTGCTCCCGGAGGAAAAAATAAAACACAAATGAAAACCAGAGAGACTCTTGTGCAATACCAACAGGGATTTAATGTCAGAGAGAAAAGCAACAGCCGAGGGCCAGGAATCCAGGTGACACCAGGGGCAGCAGGGGATGCAGGACTCGTGCGCTGGGAGCAGGGACTCGCTCAGGACCAGGATAAGCCAGGGATGGAGGGGTCTGGGCACAGAGTGGGGATGGAGGGCTCAGGGAATCCCGAGGGGAGGGTGGGCTCAGGGCACACCCAGGGCTGCTGGGCACACTCAGCTGCCGCTGCCAGCAGCTCCTGCCCGGTGTGCCCATGGCCCAGCCTGGCCTCCAGGGCTGGCACTGCCTCTGGGGGCCGGCACTGCCAGGGGGGCTTTAGAAAACCCCACAGCTCCCGCGGCGGGACCTGCCCCATCTCTGGGAGCCAGGCAGGGAATAGCCCAGGCCCCGCGAGGAGAAGCCGGAGCTGTAGGACCTCCCGCAATTGCCAAACAAAGGAGCTCCTATAACCATGGGAGCCCCCCAACCCAAAGGAACCCCCATAGCTCTGGGAACCTCCAAAAGGTCCCCACCCAAAGGAGCCCCAATTCCCCCGGGAACCTCCATAACCTCCAGACCCAAAGGAGCCCCCATAGCCAGAGGAGCCCCCATAGCCCAGGGAGCCCCCATAACCTCCAGACCCAAAGGAGCCCCCATAGCCAGAGGAGCTCCCCAAGGCCAGGGAGCCCCCATAACCCCCAGATCCTCCCAGCCCAAAGGAGCCCCCATAGCCCTGGAAGCTGCGGGAACTGAAGGAACGCTCCGGCCAGGCTGGCCCCGATGATCCCACAACGCTCTCCTGAGGGAAGGTGCTGAGCACGGGGCCAGGGATGGTCACCACCACTGGCGGGGGCAGGATCAGGGCTCTGGAGTCGGGGCACTGCTGCACACACGGCTCGTTGGCGCTCTCGGCGATGGGCTGGGGGCAGCTCACGCCGCAGGACTCGCTGGAGTAGGACATCCTTCTGTGCTGGGAGGCTGCAATGCACAGCAGAAAGAACTTCAAGGCTAAACTGGTTGAGAAAAATCAAAATAAAACTCTGTGTCTGAAATATCAGAAGGAAACAGATAAATTCAAAGGTGATATCAAAGAAATATCACTATTGTATCATCTCCACCTTTAACCTTCCCCTCACCATGATCATGCTTGCAAGAGAAATTCTGTGCTGGATAAATTAAACAAACTTGTAGTAACCTGTGGCAAAGATTCAGTGAAAGGTGTAAGACCAGCAAGAAAGAAGCTAAGAGGAAGAGAGAAAAAGGCCCATTGACTTTGTGCTGTAATTCAGACTTTACGGAGATGAGTGACACCACTTACCTTGTTCGCTGCAGGGATGGGAACAGGAGCAGTGGATGAAGGGCTGTAGGTGATGTGAGCTTTTATATCCTCCTCAAAGCCACCCTCTGAGCCTCCCGTCCTTGTTTATTACAAAACCAACGCCACAGTGGGCGCTTCCATTCTGTCACCTCAGCACTGTCCCTCCCAAACTCGCGTGGCTATGACACAACTGCTGATGGCAATCAGCTCCCTCTGAGTGTGATGTGAGGGGATTTGGGGAATTTGGGGCTGAAGTGTGGGCATGGAGTCACCAATTAAAGCCAGTCCTGCTTCAGTCCAATTTTAATGTCCTGTTAAATTGGGATATTTTAATGGTCGTGGTAACACTTCTATGGCATGGAGTCCTTTGTGGTGCCACCATCACCAGGTGAAGGTCGCCCAGCTGGACCTAAAATTGTGGCTCTGAGAGGACATGAATTCTCCTTGTAGCTGAGTAAGGATCTATAAAATTTGTCCCCAAAGAGGCAGAAATTGGTACAGCCAGAAGAGGCCTCAGCTTAAAGCTAATTCCAAACATTTCATGATTTCATTTGAAATCTCAATTTCCAGAAGTTCAGTTCGAAATACAGTAAAAATCATAATTTTCTTCCCCCCCCTCCAAATACTGACCACTACAGAAAAAAGTGAGAATTTAATAAAGTAGTAATAAAATAAAAATATTTTTTATTAGGCTGAGTCTGGGACATCCTGTAGTTATTTTTCTTCTTTCCTCTTGCAATTGTTTTCTAATTTTATGACATTGCAAAAGAGATGCAATAAATTACCTCTAAATTGTAAAATAGCTCTGCTTGTGAAGTGTCATCAGGATTTGCTGATAATAATGAGAGGTACTGGAGGATAATGACTTTAAGCTGCCTCACTTATTATAATAAATACTCATTAATAGTCGGTGCTTGCAATTTCTATTATCCTGTTAAATGGAGGCTGGGAGTTACGAGGATTTATTCTGAAGTTAGGAGCTCCCTTGTTATGAAACAACATCATTTAAAAATATCAATCAATGTCACTCCTCTTGATTCCTTAATCAACCTCTGATTAATAATTTCAGTGCTGGCAATGATTTAATTTTCATTCATGAGCTCAAATTCTTTATTTTATTAACTACTGACGTGTTTGGAATGACTATGACAAGTACATCACCTGCCGTATTGAGTGCAGCTTCTTAATTTATGAGGCAGCTGAAATATCTTAAATTTTAGGGGAGAAATAAAAGCCTGATTGTAAATTATCTGAATCTGCAGATAATTAACTATCAATGTTCTGCACAAAAGGGGTCTCAAACTGATGTTCCAAAATCTTGACTCTTGGAGTCTCACCTGTAAATATTTTGTCCATGAAATTGTGCCTCATGACACAGAGCCCTCAGCTCACGTGTCTCTGAACTGACGCTCCTGCCCCAGTTTTGGGTGCTGACATTTCTGTGTTCGTGTCTAACACACCAAATATTGATTTCCTGTGGGCGTTCACAAAGCCCCTCATGGTCCTGGAAGGATCTGGAACATCCCTGAAGCGTCACTGCCTCCGTGACATTCCAAAACTAGTAGGGAATGGAGCAATGGAGCCCATCTTGGGATTGTTGAGTAATTAATGGTATTTGAGCTGCAAATACAGATCTTAAAACTCCTCATGTTTCTAAAGCATTTGGAGATAATTGATATTTTCTTCATTTTTGATACCTGTCTCCCTGTCTTTGTGTGTCTCTCATAGATTTTCAAGGGATTCACTTAAATTTTAAAAGACGAAGTTAATTAATCTGAACTCATCGAATGCAAAGACAGCTCTCGTGATGGAGATTATTACCTCATCATTCACCAGCTCAATGCCCTAAAGTCTGTCTTGACATGGCCTCACGCCCGTATTTGTGTGTGGGGAGTGGCAGTGCAAAGCCAGCAGAATTAAATCCCTCCATGTGAGGGTTGTTTTGTGTGGGACCGGAGGCACGGAGGGCGTTTTGTCCTTGTAAGCACTTTGGGAAATGTATAAAAGCTGCCACCACTCTGAGCTTCTCCATCCACATCTCCTGAGTTATTCACCTTGGTGAACAAGGTAAGTCCGATTTCAGCTCCTCTATCCTTCTCTATCCTTCTTTTTCCCCATCCAATTCTTTGATGTTATGGATTGGCAGATGTAAAAACTGTGGGTCTCAGAAGGCTGTTGTAGAATAAAATGTGAATTTTCACCACGCCACTTGGAATACCCATTTCCAGGATTTTAGGTACAATGTGTGACTGTAAAATTTAAAAATATCTGAGTGATCATTCCCACCTTATGGGAATATAAGGGTAAATGTTCTGGTTTGGAAGCTGAGGGCTAATTGGGAAAGGATATGAAACTACAAAAATTGCTGCTTTGTATCTGACACTTCTTAACTTCCTATACATACATTGCTAGATTTCACCTAGTCTTAATAAATTTATGAAGAGATAAAACCAGATTTTTGTCACAGTGTAAGAAGCGTCACCAGAGATGACACCAGATGTTTTCATCTGTGTGCGACTTCTCGGAGACCTTATGACAGCAACCAGAATCTAGAATGTGATGTTTGTAGTCAGATTTGGAAAGCAACAAACTCTGGGCTCTCACATTTTCTATGGCAAAGCACAGGCAGAGTCAGGTGGAAATTTCTGGATCTGAAACCTTTCCCCTGCTGTTCATTGCAGCCTCCCAGCATAGAAGGATGTCCTACTCCAGCGAGTCCTGTGGGGCTCCCTTGGCTATGGCCATTCCCTGGGTTATGGAGGTGACAGTGGCTATGGGAGCTCCCTCGGGGGCTACGGGGGCTCCTTCGGGGGCTATGGGGGCTCCCTTGGGGGCTATGGGGGCTCCTTTGGCAATTGCGGGAGGTCCTACAGCTCCGGCTTCTCCTCGCGGGGCCTGGGCTATTCCCTGCCTGGCTCCCAGAGATGGGGCAGGTCCCGCCGCGGGAGCTGTGGGGTTTTCTAAAGCCCCCCTGGCAGTGCCGGCCCCCAGAGGCAGTGCCAGCCCTGGAGGCCAGGCTGGGCCATGGGCACACCGGGCAGGAGCTGCTGGCAGCGGCAGCTGAGTGTGCCCAGCAGCCTTGGGTGTGCCCTGAGCCCTCCATCCCCTTGGGATACCCTAAGCCCTCCATCCCCTCTCTCTGCCCTGAGGCCTCCACCCCCTCGGAACACCCTGAGCCCTCCATCCCCTCATCGTTGCAGCTCTCAGCGATGGGCTGGGGCACAGCCACGCTGGTTCTGGGGGGGCACAGGTCGTAGCAGGACATTTTGGCGTGAGAGAGATGAGGCTGAAAGAGAATTTGGAAAAAGAAGGGTTAAAACATACAGGGGATCTCCCAGTTCAGCAGTGGCTTGTTCCCCCAGGCCTGATGAAGTCTTTGAGTGGCCAACGGCTACCAAAGCCAAACCTCGTTGCCCACCCTGCCCAGCTCTGGCCCTGTGCTGTGCAGCCCCCTTAGAGCCCTGACCCCCACACCCCCAGACCTCACAATCCCTGACCAAGTCCCTGTGCCCAGCCTGGATCCTTGTCTCACAGCCAAGGGGTCATAGCAGGACATCTTGCAGGGCTCAGTGTTGGTTTGCCACACATAGAGGCATAAAAACTATAAAAAGTCAGAAGTTGATGAGAGAGATTTTCAACATGAGTGAAATCACTGTGTTGTGGTTTATGTTCAGCCTTGATTGTCATGGTGAACACCCACTGAGCACCTTGATCAAAAAATTCCTGCCTATGTAAATCCTCCCCCAGAGACTGATCTTTGTTCTGACCCCACATGGTTGTGTTGTTCAGCTTTTGGAAATGCCTGCGCTGAAGAGCAATATAAGAACCCCTGTCCCATCTCCCATGAACTTCCCTGAAGTTGGGAAGTTAGGAAGATCTGGGGACTCCCAAGGATTTGGGGACTCCCAAATCCCACATTTGCCACTGGTTTCATTAATAGTAATTCCAGACAGAAACAATGTAAAGCTGTTCTAAAGCTCAGTATTCCTAAATGAATCTTCTACAACTGCTCTGGTACAGGCTTTGATTAAATAAATAGAAAGAAATTTAAAATTCATACTCACTTATCTCCACAAGGTGAATGATCTGTGAGAAGTGTCTGGATGGACCCAGGCACTGGAGCTTATATAGAGGATCCCAACATTCCTGAGGGCTTGGAATCTTGCTTGGAGTGGGGGTTCTGCCTGAAATAAATTGTTTACCAGCTTTGAGTCACAAAAGTTTGGAGTTTGTGGCAGTTCTGATTTAATTCACATTCTCCTATCGTGTGATGTCGGAGTTTCACCATCTTGATTTCTTTAATCTTGGGTCTTAATTGGTGCTGGCAACTCCTGGTATCATTAGGGTGACCTCACAGGAATTACCGTGTTCATTAAGCTGACTCCACATGTTGCTTCTTCCTTTACAACCTTGTCATGAGCTTGTCTGCTCCAAGATTTTGTAAGACTCATCTTTGGCTGACATGGACATTTTTCCTTAACAGCCTTTAAAATTATCTGATAAATTAATTAGAAGCAGAAACCAGCTTATTCCAGAACTACACAGAATAAATGTGTTTCCAGCCCTAATTAAAGAGACCTTGTTTGTCTGAGATGGATTTACGGGGTCATGAATATCTGCTGAGATCATCCACTACACTCAGCAATTCCCCAATAATTTTCCATTGAGAAGAAGGTTTGGGATCAATCCCACATAAAAATCACTTTGTTTAACTAAAAAGATTTTAGTGGAAAATGAAATTCAGTTTTAAAAGGGTTGGTGGTGCTGAATGTTCCCATATAAAGTCCTGTGATTCCAATTTTGAGGAAAAAACCAAAGAGGCAGATCAAGGTGCTTCTTTAATGTCATGGGTGCAATTTCTTATCAAGAGTGTTCCAGCCCTTCTTGAGAGAAATACTTTGTAATGATTTCACAAACATTCATTATCTGCTGTTCAACCCAGCTAATGTTCAGTGTTGTACGACATGAGTGATTTAGACATTTCACTCTTACACAACCCCAGCTGCTTTAATGTGCAGGAAACAAGGTGTTGCCTGCCATTACTTTAATTAAATCATTATTTGTGCCATTGGAAGTCAAGGGTTAATAACTAATGCAGCTCTTCTTTTCCTTCTTTAAAAAACAAAAAAAAATCCTGTCCATATCTGTCGTTGAATCCTCTATGAGTTTAAGATTCCACCTTTGCTGTATTTGCCTTATTTGAAGATATATTTTCCATTAAAGAAAAAAAAAAAAATTGGGATTATTTACCATTTTCCTGTGATTTTTCAGAGCACAACTTTTAGGTTTTCATCTGTATCCAGTGCATTTTGCAGACCCTTCTTGTCATTCCTGAGAAATCCCCCCAGAGATCTGCTCTGAATTCCTATGCTGAAGATTGGTTTTTGTGGTCCAGGTTCATGCCAATATTTTCATTTTCTTTGCAGGTGAAAAAGGATTTGGGTTTAGGTTTGTGTTTTGTTTGTTGCCCCAACAAATTTCCCTGCATTTGCTGCAGGGGAAGGAAAAAAAATGATTCTCCAAGGACAGAAAGGGTTTGAGTGGTTCCCACATCTCCCAGCCTGGGGTGGATTTCCTTGCCTTGATTTATATTTTACAAAAATCTGACAATCAGAGCAAGTTGTGCCTCATCCCTGGCACAAACTCCTTTCAAATCCAACCCCTTTTGATGGGATTCATCAAAACCCCTTTGGGCAGCAGGGGAGGGGGGATTCTGCCCTGCTCAGGTGAGACCTCACCTGCAGAGCTGCCCCAGCCCTGGAACCCAGCCCAGGGATGACCTGGAGCTGCTGGAGGGTGCCCAGAGGAGGCTCCAGGATGATCTGCGGGATGGAGCAGCTCTACTGGGAGGAAAGGCTGAGGCAACTGGGATTATTCTGTTTGGAGAAGCTCTGAAATGACATCACTGTGGCCTTGCAGGACCTGAAGGGGCTACAAGAAACATGGGGAGAAGCCTTTCCCAAGGGATGGGGTGACAGGACAAGGGGGAATGGGTTCAGACTGACAGGGAGGGGGTTTAGATGGGATTTTGGGGATGAAGTCTTCCCTGAGAGCCTAGGGAGGCCCTGGTGCAGGATATTCCATGGCTGCCCCATCCCTGGCAGTGTCCAAGGCCAGGTTGGACAGGGCTTGCAGAAACCTGGCGTGGTGGAAGGTGTCCCTGCCCATGGCAGGGTGTGGAACGAGATGATTTTAAGATCCCTTCCCACCCAAACCATTCCATGATTCCGTGATGGCCTCTCTCCACTTTGTATTAAAAACACCGCAATTTCTGTGTTCTCTGGACTACAAAATTTATTTGGAGGTGTTCCTGTGAGACGAAAACCTCTCTACACGCAGATTTTCCGGAGCCTCTGAGGAACAAGGGCTGTGAGAGCACTTCGGAAGCACTGAGCAATGCTCTCTGCTCCCTGTTTTGTTGTTTTGTAGCCCTTGCATGTCCCAGGGCTGAGTAACAGCGCCCAAAGCAGGGAGGAGCTGCCAGGCACCTCAGCCCTGATCAGATCGCTCGTAGCCGCTGGGTTTGGCCAGGCCAGGCCCTGCCCTGCTCTTACTTTCCCTTTTGTGTCATCCAGGGCAGGCTGCTCGCTCAGAGTGGCTCTGGCACTCCCAGGCCCTCTCCAGTGGCTCTCCAGAGATTTAAGCAATCAGAAATGGTCAGGTTGAATAGCTCTGTTATGAGCAGGTAAGACCTCAAGTGAGTATTCAGCATCATTTAAAATAAAAAAAGGATGAAAACACAAAAATTCAATGCATAAAAGATTTATTGCAGGAACAACTTGAATAAATGACAGAGAGTAAAAAGGAAAACATGGGAAAACAAGAGGTACACACAGAAACTACAACAAAAAAAAAAAAGCTAAATTTTTTGAGACATACAGTTGTCAAACAGCAGAGCTAAATAAATGCAAATATGAGAAGACATTGACATAAAGGACATAAACAATAAAGATCAAAGATAAGAAAAGAAAAAAGAAATTGTTATAAATAATAAATTCACAAAATCGGACATTAGGGAATATATCTTCAAACTGGAGACAAAGCAAAATACTAAATATAGCAAAAGAAAAGTTTGAACGGAAAGAGTAATGGCAGCAAAAATTCAGATGAACAACTCTGAGATTCCTCCATTGCTGACAGAGGAAAAAAGCCCTGGGATGACTCTAGCAGGGCCCGCAGGTGTTCCAGATCTTCTTGCTGTAGCGGGGCAGGACGCAAGGGCTGCAGGCGGGAGCAGCGTAGGCTCTGCCAAAGGTGCAGAGGCCCCCCGAGGCCTGGGTGGCGCCGGCGCCGTAGAGGCCGCCCAGCCCCAGGGAGCCGCCAAAGGCCGGTGCTCCGGAGGAGCCCACCACGGCCTGCTGGGGGAAGGAGCTGAGGATGGGGCCGGGGAAGGTGACCACCACGGGTGGTGGCTGGATGAAGGCAGAGGAGTCGGGGCACTGGCGGGCGCACAGCTCGTTGCAGCTCTCGGCGATGGGCTGGGGCACAGCCACGCTGGTTCTGGGGGGGCACAGGTCCGTGCTGCTTTTCGGGGGGCACAGGTCGTAGCAGGACATCTTGGTGTGGGATCCGAGGGTGCTCTGCAAGAGAGGGCAGCCATGGCAGGAGACCAGCTGAAGGCAGCACCCGAGCCACAGGGGCCAGGGCTGGAGCAGGGAGCTGTGAGCAGAAGTGCTCGCACACTTACCCTTGTTCTGGAGGAGGAGAAGGTGGCCAGGGCAGTGCTTGGTCCAGTCTGGCCCAGGCAGGGCTTTTATAGCAGCCCCGGCATTGCTCAGCTCCAACTGGGCCAATCTGGAGCCCCTTCCTCAGTGACATCCTGACTATTAAGTCTCTCACGTGGCAGGAATGACAAGATCACTTGGACAGCGGGATGTGCTGGGCTGGCACCTGGGGGATGCTGACTCAGGGAGGGGCAGGGGCTGCACAGCCCTGGTGTCAGCAGCAGCATCAGGGAGTGTCCCCTGTGCAGATTGGCCCAGCTGGAGCTGAGCAATGCTGGGGCTGCTATAAAAGCCCTGCCTGGGCCAGACTGGACCAAGCCCTGCCCTGGCCACCTTCTCCTCCTCCAGAACAAGGGTAAGTGTGCGAGCACTTCTGCTCACAGCTCCCTGCCCGAGCCCTGGCCCCTGTGGCTCACATGCTGCCTTGCTCTTCTTGGTACAATAAAGTTTTCCTGCATCCAATTCCTGTTTCTTTGCCTCCTTTGCCAAATCTAGGAAATTCCCGGGGACGAGGATATTGCATGACTGGGAGGGGAAATGG